CTAATATACTTTGTAATTAGGGAAATTCATTAGAAGCAAAATGGACAATTCCTTGCATTTTGGTTATTTTCTAGGATTGACAAGCAACAAATTTCTTTAAAAGAAACATTTTCTTTTTTATAAAATACACGAAAAATCCTTTTAATGTTAGCATATGTGATTTGGCAGCGTTCTCAATGTCGGCCTTGAACAACCAGCTAACCAATGAGACAATTCCTGGCACTACTTGAGGTGTGCATCCAAGTGACAGAGCAAGTGGTGTGCTTTTTGCACCAATTGGAACTCCAGTTGAGAAGACTTTGCCATGCAAATTCTCCTCTGCAGTTTGTCATCCACACTCACACCGAAGGACATGGTTCCATCTACTCTACTGAGCAGTTGGATCTCGCCATTCTCAAGAAATGCTTCGACAGGGATATAATGGAATTTAATCTTTGTGTCTACCGCGTTTCGAACAAAGTGGAATGTTGGTTGGTTAGGTCATTACTGTCTAAATGTAACAAAGTGCTTTATGGAGGAGATTCGGATGTGTGTCTGTCACCAAAATTCAGCTGCCATCGAAATAACAGCAGGATAGTTAGTACTTGCCTAAACAAACTGACTACGTTCCACACTTTACTAGGATAAACTCAGACAACAGACGCTGCCCCCGCAGTGATGGTAGTATTTGGTGGAATATACCTCTACTGACTATTTGACAGTAACGCATTTTCCGCCTCCCGATTCCATCATGTAATAGAAGATGCACTTAACAGATAGACATGTCTCCCAACATTCGATTGTGAGTCCATTTAAAACTGCTTCGCTAATCAAACTTGCTCCTAAAATGCAGCCGAAAATAAATTTTGCAGTGTAAAGATATTGGCGATGATAGCAACTCGAGAAAAGCGTCCTGCTCGATTTTAGAAGTCTTCAGTTCTGTATCTAATTCTCGAACATTCCAGAATGTCAAGCTCTTGGTTACCTGAGATCATGCCGCAGAGCCCATATCGATACCCTACAACTAAGGTCAGTCATGCACCATAAACACCCATCCACCGATGCGCATGTACACGCATGTGGGTCAACAAAGATATACGCACTGAAGTCGAAGCCGTTCGCACATGAAAATAAATTCATGAGATCAGTCGATGTGTGTTATGGCAAAAGAGGATTACATTAATGGGTCAGATGGATTGTCACACTAAAAGTAAACCATTAGCAGCCACATAATGTTTTATTAAAGTGAAAGGTTAAGGTGGCGGAGTAGGTGCCTTAATTACACTAAAATGCTGTCCGTATGAAGGGTGAAGCAGTCAAACATGTGGCACTTAAGTAGTGCTCTTATGACGCTCTAGTTTTCTTGCCGGATATCACTGTCTTACACATGGCATAGCGTTAATTAGAGAAAATGCTATATAGTGGAGAGGCAACAGTGGTTGGTGACGTGTGCATGCTGTTGGATCATGAGGATAGCAACAGCAAGAGTGCGCTGGCTATTCGGGCATGTCGACACCAAAGGCTAGCAAATTTTAGTGACAAGAGATGACTATGGCCTTTCAACTCCTGATAGTCTATTTTATTATTATTAATTTTGACTTAACAGTCAGCACTTCCCAATCAATCACATTTTTGAGCCTTTGTTGTACAAAATGTCCTTCATTAGTTAGAGCTGCAGTTCGCTTGTGAAAGGGTGGCG